CATATTCTAAGTGCTTTTTTTTTTGGCATATTCTGAGCACTTTTGTTTTTATATTTTCGCAGGAAGTATATATTAGTGTTGTCAAATGCCTTTTACCGCGTATAATATATCTCACCCAAGATGAAATAAAAGAGTACCTCAAGGACTACTTGAACGAAAAGTTCACTGAATTTATGGCGAACTTAAGTGCTAACGATTTTGCAAACTGGTTCCATAGTATGTGGTGTTCTCAAGTAAGTAATAATATTTAACACCTGTGTATATCATTTTATATCATTATCAATCATTTTCAATAGGTCTAAGCATTTTTTATGGTGCTCAATTTCTAATAGCTCTTACAAAAAATGAAGAACCTGCGTGGTTCAGCATTACAGAACGTACGTTTGGCAATTTGGAGTGTATTTGGTCGCGAAAGGCTTTCTCGCCTCAGAAGCAATGTTAGTGCTGAGGATATAGTAAGGTAGAAGCAAAGCCAAGAAGTGTACGATTGCTATTGTGCGCTCTATAAGCAAGATGATAAAGGTGTTTTCTGGGTTGCAATTATTGCAAGAACTGCATTCAGCATGGCTGCTGCCCCTACTCTTACAAACCATCACTGTGCCTTCACACTAGCCATGTATGACATTATATTGAATCCCCAATCGAAAATTTCGTCTATAGCAAAAGTCAAATTAAGTGTCACATAGTGCGCTATTTGGTAAGTATTTGTAATATATCGATTGTAACTACAAAATGAATATTAACCTTTATTATACTAGAATGCCTTTGATAACAGCGGTTCTAATCAAGAATCGGCCAACACAATCATTAATAATAAGCTTGCTTCAGGCTCTCACGAAGCTAAACAATCAATACAAATGTAATCAACGCAGGCCAATTTCAACGCTGAACCTGACCTCAATACAACTCCCCTGTCCCAAAATAATTCTTTAATTCTTTCGCAAGATGCACAGGATGAATTGTTTGGGATCTCTTAGTGGCATTGTTTTTTTTGTAATTTTTTATATATTGCATACAAAATGTATCTCATATGTATAAAATAAATTGTATTCAATTTAAATATATAAATTTTATTCGCTTTAA